GTGGCACATTTCATCCAACATCACAGAGCAAACGTGTGGCAAAGCTGGTCCTGGCTGCCACGCCTCCATGGCCCACCCCCGCCAGCAGGGAGGTGAAGACTGAGGATTCACAAACATCAGTTATTAGGGATTGCTGGGGTGTCCGTGTAGGCAAACCACACTTTCATCGCTGCACTCATGGAAGAAGAGGCCCTCGGTGGGCTCCAGAGTGAGAAGAGATTCTTTTTTAGGCTCTTGGGCCAACTGGGGCAAGAACCTTGGCGTTTTATGCTCCTGAGATAGACACCAGAGTGGGGTAACCTTCCCAGAGTGGACAGGGAAGAAGCTTTGGTTTGGGTCTCTGGCCACAGATTCCAGAGGCTCAGTCTTCACCTATCCAACTCATCTGCAAAAAGCCTAAGCACAAGTTGGCAAAACAGGCAAAGGTGATCTGTGGAGAAGCCAGCTTATGTCTGTTGAGGGGTCCAGTAGAATGAACTTAGATAGGCAGAGAGAGGCCTGTGGGAGCCACAGTGCTGGAGGTGGGGAGGTCGTGAGGACAGAGGAACTTTATCTTCAATCTGAAGCTCTTGCTTCCTTTCTTGTCCCCCAAACCATCTGGGCCACTGGGTCACACAGCCCCATGTCTTCCCATCCGTCCATTTCTCTCTGACTTCCTGTCTGCATCTGCGGCTTGGCCCTGCCTGCTGTGCTGCTTCTTAGCTTTCGCAGAGGAAGAGCTCTGCATGGTGACAAAAAGGGGAGTGTTGGGTCCCTCTGCCTGCAATCTAGAAAGGGGCACACAGCTTGAGTGTGGAGGGCAAGAGGCGGGTTGGAGGCTGGGAGGATGGCTGCGGCCATCAGGAGTCTCCTCCTCCCTGCCGGCCTGGCTCTCTGTCATGTGAGTGGTCCCCCTTGTGCTTTGCGGAATCGCTGGCAGTGACAGGAAGGAGATTACAGACTGTATTTATGCCTTGTAGCTTTCTGTAGGCTGTTAGGAAACAAGTAGAACTTGGCAGTTATCAGTTCTGGGAAGGAGAATTCCAAGTATATTGTAGCCCTGAAGCGGTGCCCTGCATGGGGGCGTGCTGGTGTCACCTTGGATAGTCCTTCCTCTCTCAAATGTGTTTTATCAATCCCTGAGTGGAGAGCAGGGTCAGCTTCTTTCCCTAATATTGCAGTGATTCCTCTCTGAGGAGTTCTAGCTCCTCTGGGTCGTCTTGGGATGGGGACAGCAGAGGCTCAGCTAGAGCAGAAAGACAAGGAACATATGGCTACAGCAGGATGTCAGAGGGAGCCCTGGACCCCCAGCACCAGTAGGGACACAATGAAGGAGACAGAGGTTGGAGTCAGGCAGGGCTTCCTCCCCTCCCCAACCCTGACCCTGGCCCTGAGCCCTGCTCCGGCCATTGTGGGATCCGGAGGCTGACAGTCAGAAGCAGCATCACACACACATTGTAGGTGACAATTATTTCTTTACCTTCTGTTTTGCCCACTAGACTGTAAGCACCTAGAAGACAGGGAGAGAGCAGGGGAGAGAGAGAGAAAGAGAGAGAGTGAGTGAGAGAGAAAGAGAGACAGAGACAGATAGTGTGTGTGTTTTGTCTTTGATGCCCAGGCACCAGCACAAGGTAGATTCTTAATATATGGGGACTAAATTGAAGCAATTTGTACCTTCCCAGAAAAGGGCAGGAGGGAGTAGTAAAAAGCTACCGAAGAACAGATCTGTCATTTGCCAAGTCAGCCTCAGACACCTGGAAAGGCTGACGTTAGCAAAGCTCCCAGGATTGTCCCACCCTGCCACTCAGGGCACAGCCACCTCTGCCTCTCCTTCGGTGAGTGCAACATTAATTTAGCACTTACTACTGCAAGCACTGTCTTTGGATTGGTAAGAAACAGAAGGGCAAAGAGAAGCAGGGAGCTTGGGAGAACAAAATGTCTGGAGTCAGAAGATACACCACTTGCTGGCTGTTTTCTTAGGCAAGCCCTGTGCTTGACTCTCCTAAGCCTCGTTTTCCACGTCTACAAAACCAGAGCAACTACCTGGCAGGGGAAAGGCGCCTCTCATATGCTGCTGACGGACGTAAATGGGTGTGACCTTCCTGCAAGTAATTTGTAAAAATCCCTTAAGATGAACACACCTTTGGACTTGGCAATTCCACATCCAGAAACGTATCCTAAGAAAATTATCAAGTCTGGAGTAAGAGTCCGCTGCAAGAATAGTCATTACATGTTTATAATAGCAAAAACTGGAAAGAATCTAAACAACAAATGTGAAGAATTTGTCTGAGTAATTATAGTATACCCATAAATGGAATGCCATAATCATTAAAATTATAATATATTTTCCTCCTACATGAAAAGGTGTTTATGATATGTTGTTAAATATAAAAGGCTATTTAGTGAACAGTATGAAAATATGATACTGCTTTTAAAAAAGAAGCATTTTACTCCAAATATTAACTGTAGCTTATATTTGTATTGTAGGATTGCTACTAACTTAACATTGTTCCTCTTATTTATCTATTTTTTACAAGAAGTATTTGCTATTTTTTAAAGGTAACACAATTGTCATATTAAAATACCTATTTTTACAGGTTTTGCTTTAAGAGTTAAAGAAGATATTACATGTGAAAGTACTTTGTGAACTGAGAAAATTATACAGATTTAAGATAGGACTTCTGCCCATGAGAAGCTTATAGTTTGGAAGGAGATGAAAGATATCTAAGATAACCATAGCATGAGACAGGATGTGACTAGAGCTTTTAGAGAATGACAATCAACATGTTATTTGGAAGCACAGAGGAGGAAAAATTGCTTCTGGCTGTGGAGGCAGCAGCCAGAATGTTTGCGTGAACAATGAAGAATGGTTCTGGTAGAAATATCTGATCAGATAGAAATATAGAATCGGACATTGAGGGGAGTGGGAAGTTGTGGACAGGTTTGGAGAATGGCAGGTGTTGTGAGTGGTTGGAGAGTAGAGAGCCACTGGTGCAGGGTGGAAGATGGGTCTAGAAAGGCAGTCAGAGCCAGTTGCTTTCTAGACAATGGGCAGACGTGTGTTGAAGGCCTTCTCTGAGCTGGAAGTCATTGTACTTCTGGCGGGGGTGGTGCCACAACTGTAAGCCCATTTACAGGTGTGAGGCACTCACGCTGTGTCGGCAGTGCCTGGCATGGATGAGACCTTGAAGAGCATGAATGAAGTCACCTATCCCGGTAGCTCTGCCTGGAAGCAGCAGTGCAGGGTGCTCTGTGGGGCCGATGGTGGGAAGGAGGAGCATGGCCGGGAGAGGGGTCCTTTGTAGCTTGTGCCGCTGGGGATGGAAAGGAGGGAAGATATCTTCAGGCCTGCCTGGAAAAGGATGAGAAGTGGGATAGTGATGGAGGAGTGAAAAGGAGATGAGGCTTGGAGGAGGGAGGAATCAGGCATATCGCCCAGGTTTGCTGCTGGGGTGGCCACAGAACTGGGAGTCGGTCACAAAGTTCACAGACAAGGTCACATGGAGGAGAAGCCTGGTGCAGGGAACAAGCTAGGAGTAACTGGACCACGATGATGCCTGTGAGCTGGCCCTGATCTCTTGGGCTCTTCCCAGGGGCTGCCCAGGGCAGGCAATGGCTGGTGTCCCTTATTTGCTCTTGGGAGGAGCCTGGGGTGCAAGAAAGGGAGAGGTTTTTGTTTTAATCCAGAGAGCTTTTGTTAATGGAAATTCACAAACCACCCTGCTTATCCTTGCTTCCTTCAGCTCATCCCACCTCCCGGCACCCTCGACTTCCTCTCTCCTGCCACCAGGAACTCAAACCTCCTTCAGGATCCCGGATGCTATCTCTCTGCCACCCTCACCTCCTAGCAGTGCGCGCGCGCGCGCACACACACACACACGCGCGCACACACACACACACACACACACACACACACCCCCCAGAAGGGAGGTGAGAAAGTCTTGTTGTTCAGGCAAATATCTAAATTTCCACCACCCCACCACCACCACCCCTTGCAGCTCCCGGCCTGGGCCACTGTTTCGCTCCTCTTGTTGTCATGTCACCAGTTAATTACATTCTTTACTGAGGTGCAAATGTGTTTTTACAGGGAGAGTAAGATGGTGTTAACTAGGAAGGAACTGTTAATGTTAAAGATGCATTTACCTCTGGTATAGGGCTGGCCTTCCTGGCCAGCGGTTCTCCCGATGCTGCTCTGAAAGTGCAGCCAGGCCTCAGAGCAGCCCCCTCCCCCGACCCCACCATCCTGACTCCAAGCACAGCCTCACTGAAGTCCAATTAGCAACTCATCCACAAGGAGAAATTGATGGGACTGTTTGAGAAGTGTCCGGTCAGACCTTATGGAAGTGCTGACCACCCAGCCTCCATTCACCATCACCGTAGTCCATTTCAAATACTGACAAACAAAATTAATTCGCTTTAATCAAAAAATAAAAATAAGTTGTGCAGCCAAAGCCACCTTGAGGTCACAGGTTGTCCTTTAGTGCTAAGTGCTGCTTTGGGTCCATTCCCCTCCGACTCTTCCTCCCTGCTGCCCTGGACACCTCCCCACTCACCCTTACCCCCAGTGTCTCTCCGGATCCCAGCCAAAGCCCGCTATCATTTGGATCCGCACGCCTGACAGCTCGACCACTGCGCCCCCTTCCTCTGAGTTTCACCACAGCCTTAATACAAGATGTCAGCTGTGGTCTTCCCAGCACCACAGAAATCACTCACAGGCACCTGCCCGCACTTGGGGGAGAGGGCTGCAGGCACTCCTGGTGTCAGGAAGCCAGATGGGCAACAATAGGGCGTGTTCAACAGTGACCAGGGCTTGGCTACAGTGACTCCGTGGGCCTCAGTGACCACATTGAGAGAGAGTTGAATGGCAAATACAGGAGAAACGGCTGCAAGGGAAGTTACAGAATAGAGGACATCCTGGAGAGGCCTGGAAAGGGGAGAGCAGAGCCCGGGAGCCCCTCTTCTCTGACCACCCCTGCAATTCTTGCCTTCCCTGCTGAGAGCTGCTCTACGCTTTTTTGCAGGTGCTTTGGCTCTAGCAGACAGGAAGAAAATCTGGCCCAGCTGGAAGTAGAAAGAGGGGAGTGACTCTCCTGAGGACCATCTCAGAGACCCTGGGATCACCTGAACAGTAAGAAATGCTCTTCTGTCCTTTAACATATAGTTACATGTTATCTTTATGTAACAAGGAAAGGTTATCTTTCCTTCTGAAGGCCTCTAGAACCAGCTCAGAACATGAGCTGACACTTAACATGAACAACCTTGAAAGCCAGTCATGGTATGATTATTCTCAGGTCTTTATGTCACCTCCTTAGCTCCTTGAGGAGGAGGGCTGGGTCTTATTCCTGTCTCTTTTCATCTACGTATTCTGTGAACAATAAATGGCTGTTGATACCGACAGGTGGGGCCTTGCTTAGTGTCATGATGATGATCACATTTGTACCACCCTCCGGAGCAAACATTATCACCCGTGAATGACCTGGTGGCGGGGAAGGGGGGGTCCTTAAAAATGCAGTTCCAGGACCCTAAAGCCAGAGCTTCTGATGCTTTGAGTCAGGATTAGGACTCAGGAACCTGCAGCCCAAGTGTTTTTGAATGGAAACTGCATTCCAGGTGTTTCTGATGAACTCAGAGAAACAGTTCTTTTGAATGTTTGAAGCATTTTGAATAGAGAATCTCATTTAATCCTCTTATCAGATAGGGTTTTTTGTTGTTTTTTGTTTGTTTGTTTGTTTGTTTGTTTATCTTGGCTCACTGCAAGCTCTGCTTCCTGGGTTCATGCCATTCTCCTGCCTCAGCCTCCCGAGTAGCTGAGATTACAGGCACCTGCCACCACACCAGCTAATTTTTTGTACTTTTAGTAGAGACGGGGTTTCACCGTGGTAGCCAGGATGGTCTCGATCTCCTGACCTCGTGATCTACCCTCCTTGGCCTCCCAAAGTGCTGGGATTACAGGAGTGAGCCACTGCGCCCGGCCAGATAGGGTTTTTTTTAATCCCCTTAAGTAACTTCATGATCTCATAAATGTAAGTATCAATATAGGCAAGGATTTAGAAATGCAGTTATCCAAAACAACCCTTTCCTCTTTCCAGTATGCCATGATAAGGGCTGGATGTGCTATGGTGAGATTGGGCCCCAACTCCAAAGGACCTTGCCCAGGATTTTGTAAATTTCCCTGATGTCTTAGGGCCACCATGACCTTACATCAGTCTCCATTTCGGTGGCAGAAATCATTGCTAAATTCCTCACAAAGCTAGTTTCCCTGGAGAGAGGGAACAAGGGAGAGTTAACCACAAAGATGAATGTCCCTTTGCCCAGCTCCCCAGGCAGCTAGTCTATTCAGAGGACCACATGTCTGAGGACAGACTGGCAGCAATGCTTGTGCTTCTTCCTGTCTGGGGAGCTCTGTGTTCTAGGTCAACGAGGGGTGCGCGGCATGGGAGAGCTGTGGCTCCTCGCCGTGGAAGCCGAGGGGAGGGTATCTAAGTGGGTCAAGACTTTGCTGAGTGTGGGTTGAGCGACACCCGTTTCGGGGGCAAGTTGAGCCTTTTCAACAACATTTGGAGTCTATGTGCAGAGTGATGTCACAAGGAGTTCACTGTAGACAGCAGCTGTGGACAGGGCTTGAAGAAGATGGGAAGAAGGTACAAAAAGGGACAAGGGTTCTACACCTGGTGAATCCGTATGAAGTTTGTTGATGCCCAAGTTCAGTGGCTTTCTCTGGGACTGAGAATAGAACTGAGGTTCTTCCTGCTGAACCCTCCTGTAGAGTCCTGTTTCTCTGCAGGCTGAGGCTGCGGATGCTGGAGTCCAAAGAAGACAGTCTGAGCCTGGGAGAATGGAGAATGGAGGTGTTCTTGCCATCACCTGCAGGGTAGAATATGGGTAACAGGGTTGATGGACTGCTAATCCTGCTGTGAATTATGTCTTCCTGTGGAATGGAAGGCTTCCACAGATGGGGTAGAGGCAATCTCAAATATCACCCCTGACCTTCGCCCTCTCACTCCCCACACACACACACACACACACACACTCACTCCCCACACACACACACACACACACACACACTCACTCCCGACACACACACACACACACACACACACACTAACCACTGAACTGTCTTGCCAAGTGAGTGACAGTATGGTCTGTTCTAGGGACTAAATACAGTTGACACTATTGCTTGGATGGGTGCAACTGGCAAGGACAATTTTTGCAGCTAATGCTGGAAGTGTGGCAATCAGAGAAGCTGCCAGCTGTCTCACTTAAATTCTTAGCTCTCTCGCTCTCTTTTTTTAAAATCGTTTTGCTTACATAATCCACCCCCTTTTTATTTTCTAATTCTCTCCTTGCAAAGCTGGCACCAGAGGGGAAGGGCTGGGGTGGAGGGGGTAGCAATTACACATCGGTTTGGGGAGCATTTACATTTTGCAATTACAATTTAAAAATAAGTCTCGTTAATGATCTCCACGTGTAAACGACAAACCCTAACTGACATATATACTCTCCTGGGCCTGCCTGCCTCTCCCAGAGTCAGGGCTCAGTGGCAGCAGAGGTGCCTAGGGAGACATAGGAGGAGGTTGGGGGCAGGTGTCTGAGGGGTGGCAAGAGCAGGTCATATGGCTTTGAGGTTGGTACAGGACAGATTTGGGACTGAAAACTTGGAAATCAAGAGTCCTGGACTCCAGCTCCTTCTCCTCCCTGCACTCATGCTAGGTCCTAGCCCATCTTCTTCCGAGCCTGGCACTGTGGGAACTCTGCTGGGGGAAAGGGAGTCCCAGATGCTGATATCCTCTGAGGTGGGGATTGTCAAAGTCCTGTTGGGCAAACATAAACCCTAGTTCTCAAGAGCCAGCCAGTGTACCTGGATAGGCATGGACTGGGTAAAGGAGCCGATTCCATACTCAGGGTTCAGGAAGGGAACAGCATTTGTTGTATCCCCATTTAGGAGAGACATTTCTCCTTTTCTCAGTTGGTGAACACAGAGTTATTGGAGCCCTCTGGTTCCTTGAGGAAACTTAGGCTTTGGAACCAGACCAACCTAGACTCCAATTCTAGCTCTGCCATTTGCTGGCTGTGAGATTTGGGGCAAGTTATGTAACTTAAGTTTTCTTTTCTTTTTCTTTTCTTTTTTTTTTTTTTTTTTGAGACAGGGTCTCACTCTGTCACCCAGGCTGGAGTGCCATGGCACAGTCTCGGCTCACTGCAACCTCCACTCCCAGGCTCAAGTGATCCTCCTGCCTCAGCCTCCTGAGTAGCTGGGGCAACAGGTGTGCACACCTCCACGCTGGACTGATTTTTTTTTTTTTTAATAGAGATGGTGTTTTGCCATGTTCTCCAGCCCGGTCTGTAACTCCTGAGTCCAAGTAATCTGCCTGCCTTGGCCTCCCAAAGTGCTGTGATTACAGGCATGAGCCACTGCGCCCAGGCACTTAAGTTTTCTTACCATCATTGTCTTTCTGTAATTGTGGTCATCATATTTACCTCATGGTGCTTCTGTGCAGATTAAATGAGAGAATGCACAAGAAGGCACCTCACACAATGTCTGGTGCATCAGAAATGCTCAGAAAATGCCAGTTCCTGTGCAAGCCCCTCCCCGTTTGCCCCAAAGCGCCCCCTTCTACTTATATTAAAACTTCTTCTTTCGCATTACCATGTACACTAGGGAAGGGCGATGAGGTCTGATTTGTCCAGGCCTCCCCTCAAAGTCAAGCCATCTGCATTCTGAGCAGCTCCTGAATGGGCCCCCTCTGAACCTCCTGTAGGATTCTCTGCAGGCCATGGCTTCAGGCTCCCAGGTCAGCCTTCAACTTGTCTACTGTTTCCTGATGCTGGCTGTTCACAAAGCCCAGTTCTGTCTTTTCTGGACATCATAATTCAACCGCATGACCTTTTATTGGCCACTGCCCCTCTCTGGGCCCCACAAGTGTTCCTTCTCTGTGAACGAGGGAGGAGGACTACAGGCTCTCTGAGGAGTCTTTCAGGCCTGACATCCTGCAGTCCTTGGATTCTCACTCCCCTCTCTGCTTCCCTCCACCAGATATTTGTGTAGAAAGCTGTTCGTCTCTTATGCAGCTTCATTCAGGCCAGACTTTGGACTGAGCACTTATAGTCAAGAACTTAAGAGTTATTACTTGAAATATGTACACAATAGTTTTTATCTACTGCAAAAAGAGGTATTAATTTTTAAAAAATTAGCCAGGCATGGTGATGCACACCTGTAGTCCCAGCTACTCAGGAGGCTGAGGAGGGAGGATTGCTGGAGGCCAGTAGGTTGAGGCTGCAGTGAGCTATGATTGTTCCATTGTACTGCAGCCTGGGTGACAGAGGGAGACCCTTGTCCCTAAAAAACAAGCAAGCAAGCAAATAAGAGGCATGCATCTTACAAAGGGAAGAGGTCCCAAGCAGGCCAGAGGGCCCAGGGCAGAGGACACAGAAGTGGGTGCATGGTCAGAAATCTCCTTGAAGGTAGGGACAACATCTTATCAGTTTTGCTGCTTATTGTGACACAGTTAAATGTTATGTTTTAAGTATTGTTCTAAAAACTTGCTTTTTTAACATAGGTTATATGATTGATAGCTTTCTGGGTCAAAACAAATAGATCTACTCCATTACTTTTAACTGCTGCATAGTTTTCTGTTACATAGATGTATAATTATTTATTTATTGTAGTTATTTTTTAAATTAGAAGTATGTGTGAGGAAAAAGCAAACAGCGTAAAAGATACAAAATGAAAACTCTCCCTTCCTACCCTCACCTCTCCCCACAAGGCTCATGATCCAAAGTCAACCACAACAGCTTCTGCCTTCAGTTATTTGATGGCTAAACACTTATTATATCAGATACTATGCTTAAGTCCTTTTTTTCTCTGTTTATCTATTCATTAACTGTCTGCTATGAAAGTTGAGGAAATTAGCACACATCCTCCCCCTCCAATTTGTATTAGTTCGATAAGTTTTTATCAAATTACATTTGATATTATCTATTTTTAGTTCATAGCATTGAATATGCTATATAACATATATACACCATATATAACATATACTATATATTAATAAGTATAAATCTTCTAAATCTTAATAATGTAAAACAATAGTAATATACTAAATAACACATACCATATAGCATTATATA